TAGAAAAAAAAAACGTTGATTTGTTTTTGTTCGTGTTTAACTGTATGGGAGAGAAACCAAAGAAAACAATGCTAGGAGGAACTTCCTGATCATGATAAATAAGGGGAGAAGGTACCGGATCCAACACTCACCAAAGCTAACGGCGAGCCAAACACTAATAATGTACCTTTCTTTTCATTCTCTTATTGCTTTATATAGTAATTTTGTTGATTACGAGAGAGTACAGTTAACTGATTTTTTTTCATATCTTTCCTGGGGTTTGTGTCTTGGTTGTTTTGTGGAATAGAGATTCATTAGCTGATATGAGGTGTTAGGATTATTTTCATTTTTGCTGAGTAGGGTGGCCAACTGTTTATTGTTTCTACTATTCAATTTTTCTTAGGTTAGGTACTTAGATTTTTTGCAGTTTCATTGATTTTTGTTTTTTTAAGGTGTTAAATGGTGCTCTACTGTTGTTGCATTTCAGATTTCCTCTGTTAGGCTTTTTGCTCCTATAATGGAAAATGCAGTTTTTTTTTTCTCTTTTTATTGCCATCTATTGTTGTCTCTGTCCATTTGCATATGAAACCACCACCATCTGACCAGGTTTGGTTTGGGTTCACCAGTATGCCTAATATACAGTTCCAGTTGGACCTTCTGTCAAGGATCACAAGCTTAGCAATGGACGTATAGCTTCATTTTTTATCAATCGATTTAAGGTCAGAATTAGGTGTTTCCATCTTAAATCATAATATTTAAATTTTTTATTTAAATCTTGAATTAGTTCAACATCTTAAATTATGTTGTTGATGATAGTTTGCCATTCTCCATGGTTTTCAACTGCATGGGCTTGCGCCTTGTGTCTTTCAAATCCCACCATTATGTATTGTAATTATGATATTGCTGGTACAAAGTTTTTTTTACCACAAGACTTCATTCTCTGGTGCACCTTGTTATACATATATCCTTAAGCGATGCAATTATTCTGATAGTAATACATGCTTACACAACATGGATTTTCATGTTGCATGTGTCATTTGTTGTAAATATGGGGTAAAATTCCAACTTTGTAGTGTATGACCTGCGATATATATTTTTTGTTATGTCGTTACGTATATAGCTGGCTTTAAGTATAAACCTTCTCTTGTTTTTATTTCTTTTCAACTTACAATGCTTGGGTTCCACGTAATGCTGCTCCATTAATGTGGCTCCATTGAGAAGTGCCCCCTGATATCCCTTCCCATGTGCCTAAAGACAAAAACATAGAAGACAAGAGGAATAAAGTTGATTCTGTAAAGGAACCTGTATCTGAAGATAGTGGTCAAATTGTCCCATCTATAACCATTCGCAGAAGTTCGTCAGACGGCGGTGTCTCTTTGAAAACACCATTATTGCAAAACGAAGAAGCACTAGATATGGTTTTGCACTAGAAGCAAGAGAACTCCAAAAGCCAGCCTTCTACTTCAAGGTATGTAAGCTTGAGCGAAGAAAGGAGCAATGATGAAGAAGATGATGCAAGGTCTAAGAAGCCGCCGGCGGGAAGAAAAGCTAGGATGTTTGACTTGGGGAAAAAAGATTGGTGAGATATAGAAGAGAAGAGGCGCCATATCGAAGAAAAGAGTAGGTTTATTGTTGAAAATATGCGAGGGCCATGAAGTGACTAGCTTGTTGATTACTAGTTGACTTCTCGCGTGCGTTGCGCGCGATAGTTCAGCGTGTGAATTTTTGTCGTAATTATTGGTTTAAATATTTATTATTCTTATGATGAATTTAAAGTAATTTGTCGTGATTTCAAGATTTTTTTTAAATATGTAATGTCATGAAGGTAAATGGTAATATTTGTATTTATTTACAAGTAGGCATAATCAGATAATAGAAATACATAATTGATAAGTAGAACTATATTGTGAAGACAGCTAACCTTGAAAATAGAAGCACTATATATACGATAGCATAGTGTCCTTGGTTTTTTCTTCTACATTAACGTTGGACTAATGTCAAAGAATGTAGCATTTTTAAATTAAAATTGATACAATCTTCTTTATGTATAGCTCAAGCTGTCTTTAATAAGTAGCAATACAACCGGACTATATGAACAATTTGGCGGTGTGAGTTGAAGAGATAATTTAGTAGTGTAAAAGACTACAATTGATTGTTTCTATTATTTGGTGTACAAGTTTCTACCATTGTTCTCTCCCCTCTTTAGAAAAAACTAATGAGTATGATAATTAGTTGTCAAATTACACATGATTCATAAATCATAACTGATAATACTTGTAAAAATAAATCAGAGATGCCGGCTACATTCACTGATTTCTCAACAAAATGAACAAACCCCATCCTTGCTCACCAAATGACCTCTTCACCAACTTGGTTGTCCAACCAACTATCTCCTTGTAGATAAAGCTTAATAAATTTAAGCAAATCAACACCCAAAAAAAAAAAAAAAAAACACCAGTCCTAATACTCCTAATTGTAGTAAAACAAACCTAAGAGAAGTTTGCAACGAGTATTTTCTTTTCTTTCTTGACTGCATCTAAATCCTCATAAATAACCTCATCGAATCCAACATCTCTTAAGTTTTTGGAACGAATGAATACATCATCAGTATATATGCTAATAGTAAGAAAATCTGATTTCGGAGATGGGGCATTGAGAATAAAATCATAGAGATCATATCCCCTCTGCTTAATATATGCAGCAAATTCAAGCGATTTCATGATGGGTGTATGTATACCAGCATTCCTGCAGTAATCAATTATTAAACTCTCCCATTGGGTTTCAACCATTTGTAAAACAACGCTAATAGCTTTATACTGAAAAATAAAACAGAGTAGCACAATTATAATGCTAAAATTAAGTTGCTACTGGTGATGTATGCAATAAACAAAAGGCTGGTAAGCATGAACATAAATTACCATAATATAAAGAATGGTATCACGGCTATAGATCACATTAAAAGTATCGTTAGGTAAGTTATCATTTTACAATCAGCTGTTAAACTCAAATGCACAATTGTATCTAACAACATGCTTACCAACTATGGAGATCATATTGATGGAGAGATCAATGCCAATGAGATCAACGTTGAACTTCTTTGCCATGTAGAAATCAACTCTACCTATGCCATGACCAGCATCCATAACTTCTAGCAAGGGTTTTAGGCCTAGCATCGACACAAATTCTTTTGCGATTTCTGTCTAGAGTTGATGGCCAGGTTTCCCCAGGCTTCCTCTATCTCTACCTGTCTACTTCTCAATCGACTTTTTTGGTTTTGCAAATTTTAGAAAGTACCATATTACTTCCTTTTACTCTATGGGCTCTATCTCCTTCTGTTACTCATTTTTACGGATTGTGAATCTTAGAAGGTCTCTTTCTAGTTGCTATCCATCAATTATCTATTAATCTTTTCAAGCCCTCATTTCCTCACTCCCTTTTTTTTTTAACCTCACTCACATTTTATGGTTTTTGTAATTTTTAGTAAGTCTCTACCTACTTGCTCCCTTTGCTCCCTCCCTCAGTGTACCACTTTCCTTTCCTCCCCCCTTCACTAACACTGCTATTTCCCCAGATATCTCTTTCAAGCTCTTCTTTTCACTCCACCCGTCTTCTATGTTTTTCACAAATTTTATGTATTATTAAAGGTATGTTTCAACAAAGAATATCATCCAAAGAAAATTCAATTGACTTTATGGTGTGGCAAATTTTAGAAAGCATTATATTACTTGCTTCTCCTCCCTTCTCGTTTCCTTTTCCTCTACGGGCTCTATCTCCTTGTGTTACTCATTTTTATATGGAACGCGAATTTTAAAGGGCCTCTTTCTACTTGATATCCATCAATCTATCTATTTATCTTTCCCGGCCCTTATTTTCTCACTCCCTTTCTCTTTCCCAATTCATATTTTCTGGATTTTGTAATTTTTAGTAATCCCTTCCTACTTGCTCCCTCCTTCACTATACCACTTTCCTTTCCTCCCCTCTTCCCTAGAAGTCACTGCTATCTCCCAGATTTTTCTCTCAAACTTTTTTTTTTTTTTTTTTTTTTTTAACATTGCACTCGCCGTATTATATTTTCTAGTTATAATTTAACAAAGAAATTAATTCTGAGAGTTCAACATCAAAGCGACAACACCAACTTCAACACTCCAATAATGCAAACAAGGATCAAGTAGCATAACACTAATTTAAAGCTAAAACCAATCTTCAATCAAAATTAGACATTTATAATTAGCTTAACAAGGACCATCTCCAATGGTGAGACTTGAGTGAGTTTTTTTAGGAGAGAGAGGGTATTTTTTTTTTTTTTTTTTTGCAAAGGATAAGTTTAGATACTCAACTTTGAGTCTCATTTGACAAAAAATGTGGGCCCTTTATCAATATTATAATATATTATGTAATTTATTTAAGTTTTTTGTTTTTTTTTTTTTTTGAAAAACTTACAATATGGATTTGGCAGGCCATAAATTGAAAGTGACATTAGTATATTTGAGAGAGTCTCTGGGAAATTAGACTTCACATGAGATGCTAAATTGAGAAGTGGGTTGGGTATCACCATTGGAGGTAAAAAAACAACACATTTTGTATTTCAATACTTAAAATTGAGTCTCACCTATGCAGATGATCTAATGATAACTAAATCAATCACACAACAAATGCACATTTTTAACATCAATCTTTGCAAGGTATCACAATTATCACATTTGGAATGGACTGTAGTGTTAGAGGTTAGTGGACTTGGACATGAATAGCCTAAGACAGAGAGTAGATTAAGAAGCCTCCATAAACTTTCCAATGGTGAAGGTGTACTTCAACAACAAAGCCTTAGTCCCAAAATGATTTGGGGTCGGCTAACATGAATCGTACCGTGTAAATGAAAATAAACCCCTTATTCACAAATTCTCAATGCTATAAACTTTTAGTGAGTTAAAACAGAAGTTCCCATCCTTTTACTATAGAATCAAACATAATGACCATAGTCCATAGAAATTACAGAAATTAAATCCAAAATAAAGGATTTCTGCTTTCATTTTGTTTATTAAAAGGATCAATCACAAATTCTAAATACTATAAAATTTCAGCTAGGAAAAATTAGAAAGAGGAGAAAGAAAAGCCTTAAGAATCAAAACACAACGTTTAGTCTCCTCCTTGACTTGATAGCTTGAGCTTGCTCACAAGTCACAACCCTCCATTTATTCTTCTCGATTTCCTCCTCTTCCGCCCTGAAATTCGACAATGAATTGCAAAGATTAGGGGTAAGATCGTTCTCATAATCAGCTATAAAGCCTATCAAAATAAGTGGTTAAAACCTAGAAAATAATTGGTAAAGCTTAAATATAGGGCATATATCTGTAGAATATGATTCACACTATTTTTTTCTACTCATGCAGATTCAGACTCTTTTTTTCACCTTTTGCATAAGCAATATCCGTGGGCTGCATCCCACTGCTCCATGAATGTCCCGTAGAAACAATTACCCATTCAGAAAATCATCAATTAGCTTAAAGCATATATATCTAACAGTCTAACATAAATAATCAAATAGGAATAAAAAAAGGGCAAAGGTGAAAAACTAAATATCAACTCAACCCTGATAGGACATCTATGCCAAGAACAAGACCAAAAGTGCATTTGCCTAGTCTATGGAATATAATTCCTTATTTAAGTTAATTAGTGAGGAGAGCACACAAGATCAAATAACATATCTTTTTATGTCAATGATAATAAAAAAACCATAAGATTAAAATGTTCCATAGACCATAGTTCCATAATGCCCATAATATATTATGGCATCAAAACCATTGAAAAACTGTATTGAGGAAAGCACTTCTCACCAATACTCCTGCTGCTTATGGACTGATTCACACAAGACCTGCAAACAAACCCAAAAGATAAAGTTGATGAAGGAACGCATAGAACATGCAACATTTCAGATAAGAGAAGAAGAATTTTTCGGACAGCTCAAAGAACACAAATAGAATTAAAAAATGGAGATTGGGAAATAAAAATAGATAGAGGCAAAGTGAAAAGGGATAATGCATATTGATGACCTGATTGTGCTGCATTAGAATAATAGTAAGCCTCATACATTCACCATTGCTTTGAAATAGGAAGGATTTCCTGTTGGGTACATTGACGGAGAGTTCCCAACCTGCTTAACAAAAATAAAATGTATTATTAACTCTTCTCTACCGAATAAAAAAAATGACACCTAAAAAATACAGGTGTTACAAGAAAACTTCACCTGAGCTGATTTTGGCAGTTCATTCTGACCAATTTGATACCCAAGACCTGACCAATTTTGAGTCGGCATATTGGTGCCATTTAATCCAGGTTGTTGCATATTGACGTTTGGTTTTGAAGCTCCATTAGCTGCTTGAGCAGCTACAACCATAAGAAGACTCAATTGTTGTGCCAGCATAGCAATTTGCTGTTGATGAAGAGCAAATGGCTATACCATGTTTGACTGCATGCCAACCATATAAAACATTATTACTGAATTTAGAGTCGGCTATATAAAACTTGATACTTGACACACATTGCAATTCCTAAAGACAATCCAACTTAACTAAATACAAGTATAATTAAAGATCATAATAACCAAACTCATACTAAGAAAACCATTCACGATCTTCACATTCAAATATATCAAACACACAAAATAAAGATGGTAGAAATTACCTTCCAACGTTACCCACATCAGTGGCGGATCCAGAATTTTCAATTCGGGGGGACAAAATGCTTAACTTACAAAAAGCTTAACAAAAAATAAAAACAAAAAAAAACTCAAACACACAAATTGGTTAATACATAATATTAAAATTTCAAAATAAAAAACATACTTAGTCATACAATTCAAATGATGAAAAAAAATTACATAAACATTACATTAAAATTACACTTTCATCCTTCGAGTCTTCATATTTTGGAAGCGATCAACAATTTTTTCATCGGAAACTCTTAGGAAGACATCCTTCTCAATAAAAGTGACCAAACAATCATTCATAAGTTGATCACCCATGCTATTTCGCAACTTATTTTTGACACATGTCATTGCGGAAAAGACTCTTTCAACACTTGTCGTGGCAACCGGAAGAATCAACATCAACTTGATAAGCAAATGAATAAGAGGAAAAGTCTTATGCTTATTAGTTTTAACAAGCATCATAGAAAGAGAGTTAAGGTCATTTAAACCTTGAAATCTATCATTACCCCTATTATATGACTCCCCGCTTTCATCATGTCCACGAAATGTCAAACCTTGCCCCAAAAGAAACCTTAAACAAGTTAAAGATGCATTCAAGCGGATAAAATATTCACTTTTAATCACCTCACTTGCATTGTCAAACACATTCAAGATTGATTTTTTTTTTCCATCTCTTAAATTCACATATTTATCATAAGCAAGATTATGAGCACTGTTAATTCCACCAACATGCTTCTCAAATCTTTCCGATTTATTCCATGCCCTAAACCCTCCATCAACAAATGCATCACCCCCCGAATAACTATCAACTTCATTCTTGAACAAATAACATACAAAACAAAATGCAGCATCTTTTTCAATACTATACTCAAGCTAATCCCATTTCTTGAACCAATGAACACTAAAGCGACGTAAACCAGACACTTGTCTTTGAGGAAAGTCATGAGTTTTTGGTTGGCAAGGTTTTTTAAGAATATAACCCCTCCTAACTGCATTTCGTTCACTTGCGGGGTAATCCATTATGTTTATTCTTTTTCCCGGATCATGAGGAAGAAGTTCAACATCGTATACCAAATTTTCCTCCAATGGTACATTACAAGTACTTGAACCACCCATTTCCATATCATCTTCTTGACTTTGAGGGGGGCTTAATGAAGGGGAGTTATTGGACTCATTTTCATGGAGTTTCTTTCTTTTAGACAAGAACTGTCGAAGATCGGGTTGTTTTCTAGTAGCCTTGGATTTGTTTGAATTAGGTGAATCATTTGACATTTCCTAATTACATTAAAAAATATATATCAATTATTCAATTTCGGAATTTCCACAATTCACATCATTGCATAAATGCATACTATAAAACCTAACATTAAAATTGCAATTAAAATTAAAATTCAACAAATATTGCAATTAAAATTAAAATAGTTTAACAAAAATCTGGAAATTAGGGTTAACAATTGGTGAATTGGGGATTTCAAATTAACAAATTGGGAATTTCGAAATTCGAATTAGGGTTAGCAACTTAGCAAGACATACCATAAGTTTAGCAGCGACTCAGCGAGTGGTGAGGAACCCAGGGGCCAGGGCGGACAGGCGGTGGTCGGTGGTCGGTGGAGCAGCGAGCCAGTGACGCCTGACGCACTCACGCACGCGCCTACAGCGAAGACTGAAGATGGAGCACAACCGCACAGGAGCAGCGACGCACCACGCACGCACGAAGCCTCGACGGTCGTCGGTTGGTGGAATGGTGGAGCAGCGACGCAGTGGACTAGTGGAGTAGTGGTAATGGCGAATTGGAGTGAAGATTGAAATGGAGCAGCGCTGTGCGATTTGTTTTGCTTTTTTTTTTTAATTTTTTTTTTAAAATTGGGGGGACAGCTATCCCCCATGTCACTTAATTGGGTCCGCCCCTGACCCACATAATTCATACCCCATTGCAGAACCCGCATAATAATGCTTTACCTGATATACAAACAAAATACACAGCTAGCAGAAAGAACACTAACCTAACCATCTTTATCCTCTTTTTATTTTTTCTATATAGTTTATAACACTATGATTATGCATTTTCATCTAAATAACAAAACACTTATCAGTAAATTGGCAAACACAAGTTGACTATTTTTCTGCCTATCCTTAAATATAATTGTACTCACCCGCCAAGTCAAGAATGTACCAACTCCATGTACAAAAACAACAAAAGCTTTTGTAAACAATAGTATAAGATACCTTCAGCAACAAAAGCTTCACATCATATACAAGGGAACGACAAAACAAATTTAAACTGATTAACATGATTACAAAATGATAAAAGAGTTACTATCTCATGTTGATCCCTGGTGTTGCTATCTTAGAAAGAAGAGCCATATAGGTATAGAATTTCCCTGTTCTATTCAACATAGCATATGCTAGTGCTCCCATTGACAAAAGATGGTGAAGCACCTGTAAAGATGAACTACAAGGGTAAAACATACATGTCTTTTATTTTTAATTTTAGAAAGAACATGATATCAATCAATTGGTCCTCCATGGTTAAGCATTTGTTGCTTTCTTTGAGCTTAGCAGATGAAACTAATAAGCTACCTTAAAATTTCATTGATACATCAATCTAAGGTGAGATATAGAGTTAAGGTATTACTTACATATTCCATTCCACTTAAAACATGATAAAACCAAAATATCATGGCACTATCAGAAAGGAAGCTAAGTACCCAACTGAAACCTGTCAATGTAGACAAGACAGAGAGTCTTTCATATTTCTCGCTATTTTTCGACTTAAAATCAAACCCAAGCTCCATTATTTCACTTCTTAATTACATAATCTTATCTTTTTCTTTTCCTTAAACCCTCCAAAACCCACTATCATATATTCTTATCTAATAAGTTAAATAACCTAAGCACGCACATGAGCTTGAACAATGGATGAAAAAAGTGGAAAACTAAAAGAAATCAACCCCAATTAAGTAGTTAAAGTTTTTCAATAAAAAACAACCACCAAAGTAAAGTCAAGTTACAAATACTCCATGAAAACAAGGGTAAAGTGACATATATATTAGATAAATTTAATATTTTTGATCAATCCTTACTCAATATAATAGAAAATTCTAGCTTTTTCAAAACCCCAACTCTGTTCGATTGAATATTAAGGCAAAACAAAAATTTAAAAACTAATATTCAAAGTTTGATTACCGGAATGGCACAGTCAAAGGCCTAATTTATACTCGTACATGTAATTACTCTGTAAAGCAGAAAATCGAAGCCAAGGATTTCTAAGTTTGGACTGCAATTTTACAGTAGAGTTAAGGTAACAATGGAGTGTTTTCTAGACAAATTTCATAACTTGACTCAATTATTAGATCAGTCTCAAAAATTCACATAAAATTCTTCACTTAATCAACGTAATTGACTACACACTCATATCACTATTCCTTTCATGTTTGATAACTTTCCTCTTTTTAAAGAGTAGGGATGAGGATATTGATTTTGTAATACATTTTTTTGTTTTGTACTTTTGTTGTACAAAATCTGTGAATGAGCAAGGATTGGAGAGTTGGTGGTTTCTCGCTGCCAGTGTAGCAAAGTGGTTAAAAAAAATCTGATATTTCAAATAATCAATTGTATAGGAATGGAAATGAATATGTACCATACAGGTACCAGACTTTATTAGTACTTTGGTGCTCCATATATGTCCTATATTGTTAGTAGATCTTCGATTTTTTTTATTTTTTTCAGAATGGCTTCCTAACCCAATATGTAGCACGCAATTTTTGGGTTTTTAAGGCCCTGGAAAAAAAAAATTCGAGAATCATAGGGGTTTTGTTGAGTAATGCAATGCGCCTACGTGAGTGGAGACGAGACAATGGAGGCCCTTTGAAGGTGTCAAAAGACACATTATTCCGCCTAATTCGCAAACCGTGCAAACGTGATTCAAGTGCAATGCTCGTTACTAGGTGCACTACGCGTTACTTGAGTTGCATTGCTCGTTATTTGAGGATAGGAACAGACATGAGTCCTGACGAGATCTTGGACCACCGCTATAAATATTAGGGTAAATGGCGACAGACCTCGGAATAGCTTCTCGGACAGCCAAAATTGAAACCTATAGTACACGATTTTCCCATAATTGGCCAACGCAGGGATATTCCCTTCTGGCAACCTCAATGTCCTACGTTGCCCTTAAAAACTTGTGTGGCCGCATATCTGACCTTAAGAACCCATCATGCAATTTCTGGTAATTATCGTGTCAGGAATCCTCTAAAACCATAGACTACTCTTCAATTTTGACCCACCTGAAAGTCCAAACGAGTCACGTCTCTTTTTCTCTTGAATTTTTCTACCTCGTGTCTTAAGTCGCTTTAAGAGGTCCCCTATAAAAGAAACTTACTCCCTCTGTCCACAAATATTTGCTACATATTTCTTTATATCCATCCATTAAAACTCGCTATATTTCCATTTTAAGAATTATGGTCCCTACAACTCCTCTCTACTTTTTCTCTACCCCACATACAAAACAACAAAATTACCAACCAATTACACCCAAAATCTTAATAAAGCAAAAAAGTGATATGTTGCAAACTTTGATGGACAGAGGTAGTACCTTTTAAAATAAAGGAAACGGGTTGCATAAAAAACCTAAGAACCCTTCTTGCGATTTTTGGATCCCGAAAACCGTGGATTATACACTTCAAATTTTGGCCGTTCGAGACATATTACTGCTCGTACTTTTTTCTTATTTCTTTTTTTTTTTTTTTTTTTTACGGGCTAGCTTATTTTTTGTTGTAGATTGATCAAAGCAGTCCCTAGCATCTAGCCTTGCTATAATTTGCTGTAAAGTGGTAAAAGCAATTCCTTGATTCTAGCCTTAGTGATAGCTACGTAGACTGGTATTAATGATTCACAAAATCAATGATAATCAGCACGGATGATATTCTTTTAAATGCATATTTATTAGATCATGAGTAATGGTATAACAAGTTGAATTGCTGCTGCAAATCCATGTAAAGATTATTTAAAATATAATCTATGCATGATAAAGCGTACTCCGTAATCAAAAGAGATATAACAAGAGGGGTGCAACCATGTGTACTAATTGTTTACAATAAGCGTGATCAATTATGCTAAGAGGGGTGCAACCATGTGTAGAGCGAATCAGATGAAATAGTAATGCTACAAAATGTTTTTATTTATGTATAAACGAATGATATATGAGTAAACCATATACATAACTAGAATTAACCAAAAAAAAAAAAGCATGATGTTTTGATGTCCTTTCATATTGCTGGAGGATAAACCATTACAAACCATAGACATAACTAGAACACAAGTACGTACTGGAATCCTGAAGCTCGTACAACTTAACATCAGAGTCTTAGACAAAAAAACATTAAAATATAAAGCATTAGAGCCCTAGACTAGTAGGTTTGCAATATGTCTGGATCCCACCCATAGCAACGGAATACAGCATTGGGAGGGGGGTATCAAGGAATGTTAAGAGGTCGAGGTCTAAGTCAGTGACGGCAACAAAGGGAAGATGATGAGGGTAGAATGCCTTGATTGCTCTCAGAGCCATATACGACAATATGTCCCAACTCACACGAACAATAAGGTACTCAGACTTGGCAGCATGACTTGGCAAATTAGATTGCAAAATCTTCAAAATCAGGTCATTGGGAGCTAAAAATAGGACAGATGCAGAGGTGCGGACAGACTGGGATAACTCAACATCGACGACAGGAAGAGATCGCCCTCACTCGCTATACAACTCGAGACTATTGCCATCAATGCCAAGGTCTTCTAACTCAGCATATGGGAGTTGGAGTCGTAAATTCTTTGTTTTAGGTCTCGTTTCCCTCGATATTGTATAGCCATTCCTGCTGAGTATTCATAAAAATCGTTTTCTTTGACCTCTAGTATTGCGTGATCATGATCGGTGAAGGCATTAGTAACAACTCCGCTCAAATATATTCAAGCTGCTTAGCTAATTCTGTGTTCTGCAAAACGGTGAAAGCAGGGTTAGAAAAGTCAAATGTCAAAGACTTACAACCCATGTTCCTATGATTTCAGAACCAAAAAACGGAAACACTTTTCCATCTCCAATCAGATTCAAGCTTTTAATAAACGAACCAAGGTAATAGTTTTCAATGTTCACTAATCTTTAAAATGACTGCCCTCCCTATCATATAATAGGCATAAGAAATTTGAAACAAGAAATATATGCTAGTTGTGCCTCCAAAAGCACCACATGATTTGGTAGATCTGAGGTAGGATATCTGAAAAACAAATACAGACTTGTATAGAAACATAGCATTCTTCACCATTATATATTAGCACACAAACACGTACAAACCACAAAATAAAAGGCAGGTAAAAATAACTTTTAGTGCAAAAGCTGACAGCTCTCCTAATCCAAAGGACACTCCTACTCTACGCCCCATTATTTAAGTCAAAATGTCATTTCTATAGTCAGCTTCCACAGCATGAAATGTATAGCTTCTGCTAGAGACAACATGATGCAGCACAATACTTTCATCTATGAACCAAGAGTACTTCACAAGTCATCTCTAGCAGAAGCTG